AGGAACTCCAAGAGAATTCTGCAACTATGATCCACAGTTACAAATAGCCATGATAATGACAGTCTCTGCACCTCAACAATTCACAGGTTAAACCATACAGGATCTTTGTATCTTCTTTGCTGCTTTTCCTCCTCCTTAAAATAATCAGAATAATGACCTTGTCTATCTCTGTTGTCCCAATTAACTGAATTTTCGGTACACAAATAGAAAGTATCAGTTCCTTTAAATATATAAAACTGCTTTATGTTCAGGGTTTGTGGTGTATGGGGCGGGGGGGGGGGGTTGTTTTTTTCTTTATTTTACTTTAATGCCTACCTAAAACCTTTTCTTACCTTGTTAGATAGAATTTTCACTTCAGTGAATTTCCCGGAAAGTTTACAGGGCTTCGTCCAGGTCAGTAAAACAAGGTACTTCATTGCCCTGTTTTTCTAGGTACTTCTGAATAGTAATGTTTGTATTTGCTTTACATAATTGGTTTCTTAAAAAAAAAAAAAAGTAAAATGCTTAAACTTTTAAAAATGTTGGATACTGTTCACTGCTATAAATCAGTTAGAAGTTGATGCTGAAAGACCCCAATATCCCATCTATCTATTTCACTGCCACTCTTAGATAAAATGGAAGCAGCCGGCAGTCGAGAATTCCCCGTCTGCCTCCCCACAAATCCAAGCCCAAGTTCTGTGGCTGCCAACCTCATCTGGAATCTCCGTGTTGCTTGGAAATCATGTGCCTTAAACTGAGAAATTTTTCTTTCATGCTTTCCAGTTCCCAAATCTGATCCTACTCCTTAAGTCTCAGCACATGAGCCCACCTACTTCACCAAGAAAATAAAGGCCATCTCTCATGTTTTCTTGCACAGACATTCAGGTCTTGAAGCACTACGCAGTATGCTAGAAAGAATATACCTGGGAGAAAAGTTAGGATGCAGTATCCGCCTTCCAGAAATGCATTGCCTAGTGAAGAGGAGGATGTGAGAAAAAATAAATTTAAAAAAGACAGTAACTATAGTTGAATGAGATGAGACTGTAATTCACAAGACCAGCAGTTTTGTAAAAAGCAACTGGAAGTAAAAAATTTAGTTACTGGGGGTTTTTCCCTGAATTCATCCTAACTACCTCCTAATTTCTAATTTAGGATCATTCTCCTATCTTCCTCCTCATCCCATTTAGAAAATGTAAATGTAAGACATATTCCAAATCATTTTTAAAATTCAAATCAGTCTAATAAATTATAATAGTGCTTAGATAGTTCCTAGAATAGTTCATTATTGAATTATTTGCAACACAATGTGAATTAGCACAAAATAAATAGGGCTTTTAAAAAAACCAGTGAATCGCAATGGCCTTAGGTTGCCAATGACCATTTTTAGTGACAGGAATATATAAGTGAACTGAAGATGGTCATGAATTGATAAACATAACCTTGAGCCAGGGTTCAAAAACTCTAAAATTATGTTCTGTCTTTGCTAATGACACAGATCATAACTTCATGCAATAAAACTCCATTTCAGTTCAGCCCTTTCTTTCTAGTCCAGTGGAAGTCCACTTCTACCACTAACGACCCTGTGACAGCATGCAAGTCTCTTGAATACTAAAGGATCTCAGCACCCTACCTAACTCATGAAATATTATGGGAATCATATCACATAATAGATTCAAAAACATGTTTGAAAGTTTTTTTTTAATTCTACATAGAGGAAGTGTATTATATTATTAATACTCATGTCTGCAAGAGCCTAGAATAGTTTAATTAGAGGGGACTGATTTTGAAACCATTTGAAACTAAAATATTAAAAAAAAGATAGAGTCCAAGAAAAAGAAAAATAGACATTGAAAGTCATCTAATTATTGCTAGGCCAGTCCATGCAGTGATCTACAGATTCTTTGAAAGGAAAAGATTTGCTCTCATTTCCAAAATGGGGAACTAAGTGTTCTATATCAGTCTGGTTTATATTAGTTTTAAGCCATACAACAAAATCAGGCTCTAGTTTTTAATTTCTTCTTGAACCATTCCAAAAATACAGGTACATCCAGGTCACCATATAGTAATACGAATATAAGCCATACCCTTCCAAGTATCCGAAGGATTTACATTCCATTTTTCTTAAAAATAACTTCTATCAAATATGAAACGTCACATTTTTCATCAAGTCTAAATCATTATTGAGTATAAAATACACCATTGTTTAATATATACTACAAAAAAATTTTTCTACTAAACTATGACCTGCCATAACACCTTTCAATTTCAGAGATTTTAAAATGAAAAAAAAAAAAAAGTTTGTCTTAGAATCAACAGATATAATCAACAGCCTTATTATAAAATAAATCCATATTTGTTGAAAAATTGCAAAAGGCTGTGTATTAGCAGGCTGTGTTTGCAAGGAACAGGAAAACTAGATTAAATAAGAGTTGGCATAACGGAAAATTCACAGGAAGCACAGAGGTTAGGGCTGGTTTAACTAGGGTCTGAAGTCTGTCTCAAGGGCAGTTTTCTTTCCACCCCTCTGATCTGCCTTCCATAGTGTCAGCCTTTCCAAAACAAGCTTCTTTGAAGGTATGGGTTTCAGGTGGCTCATCTGCACCCCATTCTACACTGGAGGCAGGGCTTCTATTCTGGCACTCCAAGCAAGAATTCTAAAATTAACCTGCACTGCTGAGACCATCTCAGTCATCTCACCTCCTCTGAGCTGTAGCTGTTGCTGGGAAAGTGCAAATATACATGAAAAGTACCCAGACAGCATGGGGAAGGGAGAAATACCCAACCAGAAAATCTGCCTATTACCAGGAAAAAAGAAGAAGCGGCAGGGGAATTTCTTGAAAGCTGTAATGGTTAGTTTTATGTGTCAGCTTGGCTCTGATGCCCAGTTGCTTGGCCAAACCCTAGTCTAGATACTGCTGTGAGGGTATTTTTAAGATGTGACTAAAGTAGATTACCCTCCATAATATGAGTGAGCCTCAGAAATGACTGATGTTTTCCAAAGGAAGGGAATTTCCAAACATCAACTTTACCTGTGTCTTCAGCCTCCTGGCTTGCCCTACACATTTGGGACTTGCCAAATCCTATAATTATGCTACAATTATGGGAGCCAATTCCTTAATCTCTCTCTCTGCACTACCCCCACCACCACCCCCCCTCCAATGCAGGAATACCATTTTAAAATATTTTCTCCAATTTTATTTATTTACTTTTCCTTGCATAGAAACATATGGAAACATTTTACTCAAATGACATCATACCGGATGTACAAAGTTCCGAGCTCTTGAATCTTGCTTTTGTCACTTTATTTGTCAAAATGGTCATTTTTCCATGTCCTTAAATATGTTAATGTGACTTTTCTTAGCAGTTACCAAATAATCCATCACGTAACTAAACTATAATCTATTTAACTGTATGATTGTCTCTGGGATTTTGGATGATTTCATTTTATTCTTTAAATACACAGACTTCTCTCCTGATGTGCAAAACCAGCTAGGAGCCACCTCCGGAATCTGAGGCCTTCAGAGGTCAGGAGCAAAAGCACACTTGACAGGTATACACCTCTCTCCTGACTCGTCAAGTTTTGTAAATTAAATATATACAGTTTTTTGTATGTCAGTGAAAAGTGTTTCAGTTGGGTCCAACAGAAGCTTATTATGAATAAAGAGCATGTTGCCAGTTCCGCCTTCGGCCAGAGTGATGGTGTGTGCTCAGTCACTTCAGTCATGCCCGACTCTTTGCAACCCCATGGACTGTAGCGCGTCAGGCTCCTCTACCCATGGAATTCTCCAGGCAAGAACACTGGAATGGGTTGCCATTCCCTCCTCCAGGGGCTCTTCCCAACCCAGGGATTGAACCAGGGATTGAAACCCACGTTCTTTCATTTCATTGGCAGGTGGGTTTTTTTTACCCTAGCGCCACCTGGGAAGCCCAGAGTGATTCCTACCTGACATCAAAAAATGCCACTTCCAGAGATTACATCTGCACCCACCTTAAAGCTCTTAGGGGAAATGATGTGGACCCCTGGTGCCTGCTCTAAGTCATCATCACAGTTAAGGGCATGCATTTGTTTTCAAGTAACATAGTAATGTTTGTGACTTAATTTGTTTCCTCTTGCAAGATCCTCGTAAGAATGAAAAAACAACAAAAAAATAAGGGGAGGAAGAGGAGTTATGAATGGGCCTGTATGGAATCTCAGTAAGAACATATTCTGTATCATGTATTTACTCATTCACACTCCTAATTATGAGGGAAAACTGAACGTGCGCTCCTGAGCTGCGAACAGAATGGACGTTCTTGGAGAACAAAGGAACACATGGCCTCCTGGCAGACAGTGCCAGCATTTCTCCGAAGCACAATTGACTGGGGAGTTTCTGGGCCTGACTCCCCCTCCACCACACACTTCACTCTCCATCCATTACCCTCCTTGACAGAGGGCCTGGTCCAAGTCCCCAGGGCCAACATACAGCTCCCAGCAGCTGGATTCCTCTGAAACAGTTAAGTGGCATTTTTTCCCAATTACTCTTCTCTGACTTAAGATGCAGGGGAAAAAACCATTTTGTGAAATGGTGAGAGTAATGACAACAATTAATTTGTGGCTGTGGTTAAGTGCAGTTTTAGCAAAGCTTTGAACTGTAGCGTATACTAATAGAGTCTCTTTAAGAAACTGCTTTCTAGCTCCCCTGTTCTATTATTTTAATACATTTTATGATTTTCCTTCTAATTGATTTACTTATTTGCCATATTCTGGAGATAACTATTGCGTTTGTATGCTGGGTTTTACTTTTAAGACTACAATTAACCCTCCTACCTAAATACTGAGCTTGGAGACTCATGTAAAATGTGAGATCTTTAGTATATCTGTCAGCTGAAAGAAGATTCAAGAAAACTCTCCTAGATGCTGAAAGATTAAAATTGTTGTATTATCAAAAGTAATATAAACTTAAACTGAGTTTTTAAAAATATAAATGGAAGTCGGAATCTGTTTGGAGAGGCCTCAAGTTTTCTCCGTGTTACGGACAACAATGGACACCCAGAAGGATGTTCAACCCCCAAAGCAGCAGCCAATGATATATATCTGTGGAGAATGTCACACAGAAAATGAAATAAAATCAAGGGATCCAATCCGATGCAGAGAATGTGGATACAGAATAATGCACAAGAAAAGGACTAAAAAATTGGTGGTTTTTGATGCTCGGTGAAACATGAAATTCAGAGGAATATCTTCATTTTTATTTGGATTTGTTGTTAATGTTGTATAGTTTTTGATTAGTGTACTTTATAAATACAATTATACACACATGATTTCATTTTAAAAAACCATATTGTATTTAGATACCTATTAATAGCTTATATAATGATATTATTTTTTGTTCAGTTACATGGTTTGTATTTTAATTTTATTGTATATGTAATCTGACACTCAATGGAGGTTAAATATGTTTCCGAAACTACACTTTAATCAAAACCTGGAATCATCTGGGACCTTTGTTAAAAATGAAGTTTTCTAGGGCTCTTTAAAGGTCTGATTAAGTAAGTTCTTAGGAAGCCTCTGTTTTACATCACCAATTGTTTGTAAACTCTCCAGCATCATTTTGTATAGAGTATTCCAATGCACTTACTGTCAATGTGCATACCTTATTTTGAGTTACAGTTTTCATTTGTTAACTTGGCATTGGCCTTTCTGTATTTATATGTAATGGTTGACTTTTTAAAATCTTGGGCAAGGGAAAAGAAACTTTGATGGTTGCTTTCTGTAAGACAAAATCAATCCCAAGTAAAGTGGATGAAGCAGACTGTTAAGGCAGGTGTGGTTTCCCAATTGTAATTATTCATTAAAGTAAAAAAAAAATTCTACTTTCAGCATATAAAAAAATATATATATATATATATATATATATATATATATATAAATGGAGGGCTTCCCTGGTGGTCCAGTGATTAAGAGTCCGCCAGCCAACACAGGCAACACCAATTCAATTCCTGGTCCAGGAAGATCCCACATGCCACAGAGCAACAAAACCCAGCCCCACATCTACTGAAGCCCGAGAGCTTTAGAGCCTTCGGCCCACAAGAGAAAACACTGCCACAAGAAGCCCACACACCACAACTAGAGAAAGCCCACGCACAGCACAAAGACCCAGCACAGCCAAAAATAAATAAGTAAATATTTTTAAAATAGATAAATATTAAGTGGAGTGGTTACATTACAGATGAGTAGTACAGTACGATAAAGAAGACAGTTTTTTTTAAGGAAGGGAAATAATTCAAATCAACACATATCTATGAATCTATTCTGTTCCTCTATTTATATATTCATTCGCTGAAAAATATTTATTTATCATCCATTATATCCCAGACACAGTTCAATATGTTGGACATACATAGAACAGTAAACAGACAAAAATTCTTGCCCTCATGGGGTCTACATTGTAGTGAAGAGAGACATGTCCCTGGATTGAAATAAATTCCAGTTTGATGAAGAAGAGAGTGCATAAGCACTTGAGATATTAAATAATGAAAATGCTACAAAATCACAATATAAGAAATTTTGCATTTTAAACAAATGCTCATTTGCCATTATTTAATTACAGAATCTTATTTATGAGTTTGAAAATATATCTGTATGAAATTTGAAAATTAAAGTGGTCAATTATCTGCAGATTCTTAGTAAGTATAAGGTAAGGAACTGGGGGAAATGGCATCGTATGGAAGGTATCCTCATAACCTAGCAAGAACATGCTTTGACACTTTGATCAACGATGTGGAGATGACAGAGAACATCATGCCAAAGTTTCACAATGTTCACGATTCCTGAAGAAAGGACATATACACTGTAGAATTGGATAACATTCACAACTTATACAGTATAATAAAAGAAAAGAATAGCTGGCTTGAGCAACAAGGTTTTGGGTGTGAAAAGACAGAATCTGGTACAGACTAAAGGGTAATCAAGATGGTGGAGTAGGAAAGCTGGAGCTCACGTTCCGCCACAAAAATAAAATGGGTATAAGAGAGAGTGCCTATCTTACAATAAACTACATACAGCCTCAATGACACTTCAGAAGTAACAAAATTATAAAAAGAGTAAACACAGAAATTCAGCAAAGGAAGTATGCTTTTAAAGAGATTAAGTAGAATGCAGAACTAGCCTAAATGTTAAGTTTAAATTCTAAGACTGTCTGTTCAGTGATGACATCTTACCCATATGCAATGGTATGTTGATTCTTAACCATTTTCAATTCATTATAAATAATTATGTGTTAAGCTGTTGTGTTACTTTGTCTCTAGGTGAAGGAGTATTTTTAAGACCAGCAGCAGTAGCAAGGGCTATAGATTCAGAAATTAAAGATACTCTAAAATCTGTATAAACTTTCCTGAGCTTCAGAACTATATTTAAAACCCCCACTTGTCATCTTCCAGGAATCCCTTGGGCACCTCTGACTTAATATGTCCTAAACTGAACTCTGTATTTCGTTCAATATCCCATTTCTTCATCTCAAGTAACAATTCCACCATCCACTCAGACTAGCAAACTACGAACTTGGGAATATCTCTCTCCCTCTCTCTCTCTCTCACACACACACTTTTACCAAATACCACATGCTTTGGTGATCTCTCTATCATCATCATCATTTTTCTTCTTGATCATCAGTTTTCCTCTGGATCACAACACTAGCTTTCTGGTTGATCTTCTGAACACTGGTCTCTGATTCACCATTTCATGCTGTTGCTCAAGTCATTTTCCTGAGAACAAACCTGAGCATAGTCACCATTTTTTTTTTTTTTTTTAGATTTTTTTGGCTATGTCACACATCATGTGGGATCTTAGTTCCCTGTCCAGGGATTGAATCCACACCCCGACCCCGCCCCCACAATTGAAAGTGTGGAGTCTTAACCACTGGGCAACCAGGGAAGTACCCATAGGCACCTTTTGCTCTAAAACCTTTATTGCCTGCCCATTCCTACAAGTAAAACGTTTCTTATCACACATATTTATTTGTAAGTAATATAGATATACAACAATTCATTCATATACATGAAAGTGAAAGTCGTGTCCGACTCTTTGCGACCCCATGGAATTCTCCAAGCCAGAATACAGGAGTGGGTAGCCTTTCCCTCCTCCAGGGGATCTTTCCAACCCAGGGATAGAATTCAGATCTTCCCCATTGCAGGAGGATTCTTTACCAGCTGAGCCACAAGGGAAGCCCATTCATGTACATACTCATTTGTAAATAATATAGATATATAACTACTATATTAATATATTGTACACATAAGAAAATATAATATAAAAATTAGAAATTCAGAGGGCAAAAGATGAAATATACATTATTTTATATTCTGTTTATTAACAGTAAATAAAATAATTCAGTACCACAAGATGTTATTTTTATTTAGTGAGGGTAATGTGGATGAATATGTTTTGTAATTTCTATAATGTTTTATCATTTTGTGATAAAGCAACTTAAAATCTGGTTCTAAGTACACTTTATTTCAATATTTACTTTGATGGCTGGCAGAGCTGCCAAATACCTTTCACAAAGAGCCCCATATATAAATGGAGGAAGTGTATCATTGGGTGAGCTTCTGAGATTATGATACTCATTTTTCAACATCATCCACCAATTTGCAAGGACTTTGGTGAGAATTCATTAATGCTTGTGTTACTCATGTTATCTGCAATCTTTTAAAGTCATTTATCCATTCCATGCAGGTGGATTCTTTACCAGCTGAGCTACCAGGGAAGCCCACTAGATCAGTTAAGTTAGATAATATACATAAATCCACTTAACCAAGCACACATAAAATGCTAATCAATTGCAGTTGCTTTCCGAGTTAGGAAGGAGTGTAGGAACATCCTTTTAAAACTGTGGATCTCAACCCTTCATTCAGTATTCTTTGCACCTGATAAGCCCCTCCGTATGTCTGACATTACAAACATGCAAGGACACCATGCTAACCCATATGTTACTAAGTCCTTTTTCGTATTTTCAGATAGATACACAGTTTTCATACTTCCTTCCCACACTGAAGTGTATCAGCTCACATAGCCCTAGTGTGTCCAAAGTTTTGATCCAGATATCTCAGCTGGGCAGCCCAGGCCTTTCCTAGTCTACCCCACCAATGTCACCCTTTCACACACCCTGGCCTTCAGCCATATTGAACTATTGAAGCTATCATCATTCTCTGATTGATCTCTGATCAGATCTTTGCTTTCACATTCCATCTCTGCAATATTCTGTCCACACACTCTGCCTTAACCCCAAGCATCCTCATCTGGTGCTCTCGTCTTCATCCTTCAGGACACGACCCAAATGTAAACCCTTCTCTGATATTCCTCCTCACTGTCCACGTTCTCTTAGCATTCTACTCATACCTTTAATACTCCTCAATCCAGACTGTGCATGTTCCACGTTTCCCTAGGCTGCAAGTCCCTTGAGACTTACAGTAGACCATTTGGGTAGCCACAGGCACCTAAATCAAAGACTGCCCAGTAAAAGGCATCTCAAAACTGTTTGTTGGATAAATTACAACTTAGCGAGATTTAAACAATTTTAAAATTAGAAAAGCCAAAGAAGAGCACATCTCTTTTGAAGAATCGAAAACCATAGAAAGAAGATTCTGAGAAGATACAAGGAATCAGTTGCCTATTATTCTCATGCTGTTTGCCCAACTCAGACAGGACATGGGAGAATCAAAACGAAAATACAATCGGCAAGGTAGTCTTTAATAAATCAAAACTAACTTTCAAGTCAACAAAAATTGGCTACATTGTCTTCCAAGGGATCCCAAAGTGATGATTCCACTGGTCCCCAGAAGTTCTACAGAGTTTTCATAGAAAATTAAACAGATTTCATTCTTGGCTTCAGACTTTATCCTTTAAGAGATCATTGTGTGTGTGTGTGTGTGTGTGTGTGTCTGTGTGTGTGTGTGTGTGCACACACACTCTCAGTTGCTATGTTGCGTCTGACTCTGCGGCCCCATGGACCATAGCCCACCATGCTCTTCTGTCCATGGGATACGCCACAGAAAAATGTTGGAGTGAGTTGCCATTTCCTCCTCCAGGGGATCTTCACCACCTAGGGATAGAACCCACATCTCTTGCGTCTCCTGCATTGGCAGGCGGATTCTTTACCTCTAGCGCCCCCTGGGAAACCCTAAGAGATCATCAGTAATGAGCAGAGCAATTATATCTGCA